AAAGCAAACTTATGCATGACGAACTAATGACAAATCCACTAAGATCCGTACTCTAGACCAACACAGAAATAATTGTTAAGGCTGTTGGGCGTAGCAAAAGTTGCTTAGCCCATAACAGAATCTCAGCATGAGCGAGAAAAGCAACAAATTTATAGGTCTCCTGATTAAGTAAATCTGCTGCTAAGATAAAAACAAGAGGCCATCTAAACCAAGAGATTAGGGAATGGGTTTAGTGTAAGGAGTAAGGATCAAAAGTAATGCAAAAACATTTATGCTTGATTAATTGACTTGAGGAAAGGTAGGGTTGATTCAACCTCATAGTTGGCGGCTTAACGAATATCTGTGATTATGGATCATTGTCGCCCTGCTCTGTACACATCTGTGTTCACGGCTAATTGACAAAAAAATGTTCCTACTATTTGGAGATCATGCTGAAAAAATATCATTATCTTTGGTGGCACAAAATGAAATTCATTTAAATGATAAATAATTTTTATGATAAATAATGAAAGAAAAACATGCCTGATGTTCTGGATGTACAGCCTGACCCTCTTGCTCTTCAACAGCGGCCATAAGAGCCTCATGCGTGAGGATATGGTGCTCCTGCCCAGTTAATACCATAGCCTCTTGCTCCTCGCGACTAAGTACCAGGTGTCCAGTATCCACTGTCACTGCCTCTAAGCCATGGATGCTAGTAGCAGCCAAAGCTTCTGCTTCAGCTAAGGCGGCGGCTTCAGCCTCATCCGCAGCCCTGCGAGCAGCTACCAATTGAGCATCCGGCTGTCGAGTCACCGTCTCCCGGCCGCACAATTCAACCAGGTGGCGTGCCAGGCTATTGCCGTCGAGGCCAGCAACCGAGCAACCAGTGCACCAGAATTCCTCAGGAGCAAAAGCCACATCCTCAGCTGGAGTGTCTACGACCACAAACGAATCGCCTAGTTCTGTATTAGATGGTGCTTGTTTGTCAGCCTGAACGGATGATTAAAAGGAAGATAAAATAAAAAGGGATGTATAGATTTATTATATCTACAAAGCGAATAAAGAGAGAGCCATTAATTGCTATTAGATTAAAATATTATTAAAAATAAATTGCGAAAGGAAGATATACCAGTTAGGATTTGTTTGAGATTGATAAGCAACCAATCAGGAATGTAACAAAGTTTGTCAAGGAACTTGAGTATATAACATAATGGCCAACAAGAAAAAAGACTATTGGGATACATTTTTATATGTAGAGAAATACTCGCACCTAAAACGAACCAAGCTTTAGAAAATATAACATGAAATAATTCTTTCGATAAGCTCGGGAAAAATTTCGAGCTAAAAAGTAGGTAGAGACGCTCCTATAACTCGAAGACATATTACCTTTTTGTCTTGGCAGCATTTTAAGGATAGTAATAATTTATTTTTCATACCGAAAAGTATAGTAAAAGTAGTATAGAGTACCATATTGATTGTCAGATGGGCAATAAGATAGGCAGGGATGTATATATGAAGCCAGTACTTACTAATGGCTATAAAAACGGAGGGTAGAATCTTAAAGTGAATGATTGTTAGGAGTATGAGGCAAGTGGATAAAGATTTGGTATAATAAATTAGATTAATACCCGAGAACAATAATTTTCTGGGTGAAAATAGCAGACTAATAAGGATTAACATGTTTAATGGAAAATATTAGAGAATGAATAGAGAAAAAGAAACCTTTTATAAGCTTGGCTCTCTTTTAATGCTCTAAGTAAGGAAAGTGATAGAAAGCGAAAGTAATATAATAAAGACCGTTTTCAAGAAGACAAAAAATTAAGATAAAAAGTTTAACCATTATCTAGGTCAGGATGCTGTAAAATGTGCTCATGCGGCCTTTTTTATACTGGACGGACTTATCACTTCCAAAGAATGAGATAGTGATCCCAAATTTGTCGGGTTTTGATCGTGGTATGTCGGTAAATACAAAATTATAGATGTCCTTGAAGATTATGGATGTCAGGAATACAGGTAGGAAGTTAAGAAAGAACTACTTGTACTTAATTCATTAAATTAAGAATAGAAAAAGTTAAACCATCGAGAAAAAGTATGCTAAGAAATTAGTATTTTGACTTCGGTTCTAATTACATATAAGAGTGTTAAGTGAAATAAGGGTAATTAAATTTAAAGGCAGAAGAGAGATGTGACGCTTAATCAAATTTGCTTGAAGCTGTAACTGTTGGTTTCGTACCCTTAGGCATACATGAATGCATATGCACACAAGCCTGTAGAATGACATATAAGCATATGACAAAATACTCATAAAAATTCAAGTAAAGTGAATATAATGTACAGCATGTAGGAATAAGTAA